ATCCTGATAGTGCATAACATACCATTCTGAGTTGTGCCCTACCATTGACGTCCAGGATTTAACCATATATAGACTGAGCAGTAGACTATGGCGTTTTAGGAGTTTGTTTTCTCCTGTGTGGTTCAGCGTGACTCTGCAAGCCCTAGTATGAAGTGGACAATGGGTGACACACACCTACACAAGGAACTATATTACAACAAGTTTTGAAAGAAATAGAACTTGATATGGATGGGAACACCTGGAGGATCTGTGGGCTAGGAAGAAGTGAGGTTTTATTGCGGTCAGTGCTAACACGTTCTATTTTTTTTTTCTTTCCCCCCAACCCTTCGTTTCCCTTCCCTTCTTTTCCCTGTTGTGGGGAAAAACAAAAGCTGCAGATTTGGGACACGGCGGGACAAGAAAGATTTCGTTCCATCACGCAGAGCTATTATCGCAGTGCCAACGCGTTAATCCTGACCTACGACATCACCTGCGAAGAGTCCTTCCGGTGCCTCTCCGAGTGGTTGCGGGAAATCGAGCAATATGCCAGCAATAAGGTCATCACCGTCCTAGTTGGTAAGAGGCATTGGCATGTTTATCCAATACCAGGGATCAGCCAGGTGCAACCGATCAGGAAGCAAGGCGGTTCAAATGACTTCAGGTTTACTGCTTGCTAACGCGCTCAACAAGAATCCGAACTACTAACAGTCAAAGCTAATTAGCGGTAGATAAAAGTGAATGGAATTCAAGGTGGGTTGGATTTAGATCTCCTGTGAACACAAAGGGACTCCAAACTGATGGTGTGCTCGACACCTCCCTCAGCCTGGTCATCTCCTACATCTTGCCAGATTAAAGCAACAACCTGCATAAGCATTAGATGTTCTCTGTGAAGGGCTAGGGAGGGTCCATCTTCAGCCTTTTCCTGCATACCAAATATTCCAAGCTTCCTCTTTACTCTCAGGGAGAAAGTCCCTCCCTCTTGCGACTCTGGACCAGACTTTGCCATACTTAGGAAACCCAAATCTTTTTTTTTTACCCAGCTCCCCCCACCTCCCTCTTGTATGTCATATTTTGCGGAGTATAAGACGCACCGGAATATGAGACGCACCAAGATTTTGAAAAGGCAATTTTTTTTAAAAAAATATTTTTTTGCACTCTGCAAAACTCCCCAAAATGGCCCATTTTTCATGAAAACTGGCCCAGTTTTTTTTTCAAAATAAGGGCATGAATAGCCTTTAGGAGGCTTGTAGAGTGCTCCTGGGGGGTGGGGGGCCAAAAATGAGTAAAAGCGGCCCATTTTTTGTGAAAACGGGTCTGTTTTTTGTCAAAAAAAGGGCATAGATAGCCTTCAGGAGGCTTATAGAGTGCTCCTGGGGGCCGGGGGGGGGGAAATTGAGCAAAAAATGGCCCGTTTTTCACTCACTTCTGCCCTCTCCAGTCTCCAGGAGGTCTCTGAAAATCTCCTACAGGCTCTGCACGGCCATTTTGGTGAAGGGGCGAGGTTACGGGAGGCAAAAAATGCTGTATTCAGTGTATAAGATGCACCCAGATTTTCAGCCTCTTTTGAGCAAAAAAGGTGCATCTTATACTCAGGAAAATACGGTAGTTGATATTCAGCTCAATAAGAATCTCTACTCTTTGTTCAGTTGTTGGCTTCATGACTTTTCTCAATCCCGCTTAATTTCTTCCCCTTCCAATTGGGTTTAATTTACTCTTTGCAGATCCTTTGTTCAGTTGTTGGCTTCAAGACTTTCTCAATCCCGCCTAATTTCTTCCCCCTCCTGCTTGTTTTCTTTAGGAAACAAGATTGATTTATCCGATAAGCGAGAAGTCTCCCAACAGAGAGCCGAAGAGTTTTCCCGAGCCCAGGATATGTACTATCTGGAGACCTCGGCAAAAGAATCCGATAACGTGGAAAAACTCTTTTTGGACTTGGCTTGTCGGCTGATCAGCGAAGCGAGGCAGAACACCCTGCTGAACAATGTGGAGTCTCCCTTGCCGGGCGAAGGAAAAAGTATCAGTTATTTGACTTGTTGCAATTTTAACTGATCCGCGTTTGAAACCCCAAGAGTGATGACTGCTCCTTTTACAGGCCTCTCTCTCCGGAGGCAAAGGCTGCTATGACCCGGTCTGACTGGTGGAGATACTCAGGCACCCGATCATGAAGCATGCCAAGCTGGCCATTTGTCTGCAGGGTCAGTCTAGAATATAATCCCCCTTTTCCCCCCCTTTTCTTTTTAACACATGTCCCATCCCGGAGCCCCCGAAAATTTGGAGATTAAAGATTCAAAAAGATGCTAGGTAGCGGCTGGTGTTCACTTCTCGGAAGCACCTGGGATCCTTTCCCTTGGAAATTCAGGATGAATTGTGCCTGCCTTTTACATCTTTACAAGAAGGAAAACGAGAGGCGCGTTAGAAAATGGCTGCGGATTGCCAGCTAAGTTGACAACGCTTGTATATAAACCAGGACCCGGAGTGCCATTTTGTATGGCACAAACTCCACCGAGTGTGCGTGTTGCGTGCGTGATTTTTGTTTTGTTTTTTTAAAAAACCCTAAGTATTAATGCATTTGTGTTCTGGGATTTTGGTAAACGCGGAAGTTAAAAAAAAACGGGATAGGCTGGTTCGTTAGCAATCAGGTGGTCTTGAGATTGGACGGCTGCCCTTTCGGTTCTTGTATTCCCGAAGCTAAATTTTCTCTGGGGTCAGCTTACTCTCTTCTCCACAGATAGATGCGTCCTTGCAAAGGGATGGATCCTAAATACAGCCGTCTTTTGGTTAGTTCACGCCTGCGGGGCACTGCTTGTTCCGAGGATAAGAGACCAACGACACAAATTTAAGAGTTGGCCGCTAGTTATCCCTGCACCTCTGATCAAATAAGAGTCCCAAAACTTTCTCTCAGCTCAGCATTTTGCCATACGGTGGGGCTTCCAAACCCACTTCGTTTCTTGCAGAAAGGAGCTCTTAAAAGTTTATACATAACACTCCACCGGTCTTGGATTTAGCCAAAATAGCTTCTTTGTGAGAAATGCTGTTTCCGGGAAATCTGGATTTCAGATGCGGTTGAGAGAATGTGGCAGTACCTATGCACAAATGTCATTCGTGGGGAGTAATTTGTTATTGATGCATTTGAGGAATGGGGCATGGATGGTCCTGTGTTTGTCCTGGGAAGTTCTTAGAAGTCCCTCTTGAAATGAGCTGCTCAACGTAGCAGGTAGACCTCATGGCTGAATCCTGCTTTTATAACTAGACCCACTAGCACCAGTTCTGGAGTTTGCTCTCTTGTTGGAAAAAGGCGTGTACAATTTCAATTAAAAAAAAAATACGGTTGAGGGGGCGGGGAAAAAACAGCGTGTTCTAAACCTTTTAGGCGGCTTTATCGAGGCTGCGATCCTCTTGCAGAGTACGTAGCTCTCTAAAGCTAATTTAAAAAGGCAGAAACGCAAGCCTGCTTCCCAGAGTCACTTGGGAGATTCGTTTGTTTGTTGTACTTGGGATTTCACTATGCACGGGCCCTTGTGCGCGTACGCCAAGAACGGTGTGTAAGCAATACCCTTGAACCAAAGCCTCGCTGCTGCTGGAAGGACGGTACGCACAAAAGTCTCGTGCGCGCAAGTTGGCAAATTCAGCACTCCCAACGTCGAATTGCAAGGAGTCAACGCAAATTTCCTCCCCTATCGGTGCTTCATTCCTTGCATTCCTTGAAGGGGGACAAACGGACTTGTCTGGAACGCAATGGGCTCACGATGGGTTATTAAGATTAGCATGTCACGGCTGGATGTTCTATATTGAGCATCACTTAATTTGGGTAATTGGGAAGAAGCAAGAGATTTTGGTATCCAGTGCAGAGGAGGTTCTACACCACATCAGCCTCCAGTAAAAGCAGTCGTATCGTCAATTCAAGAGGGCCAGCTGGTACAGGATATTTGGGGGGGGGATTCAATTGTGCTCAAACTGTGACTGATGTCCCCTTTTGCATTAAAATAAAGCTGCTAAAATTTTAGCCTTTTTGAGAATAAAGCTGACATTTTAAAAGCGTTGCTTTTTTTTGCCCTTCTTTCTTTCTTGCGGTTTACTTTTCTTTTTCAAAGTCCAACGTTACTGTTATAAAAATCACAATCCTTGCAGATGTGGGACAACAGCTTCCAATGTTCATTTAAAGTTTAACGAAAGTGGGAACTCTCTATTCTGTCCAGGTATCCTCGACTTAACCACCATAATGGAACCCCAAATTTCCCTTGCTATTCAAAACAATCGTTCAGTGAGTTTTGTCCCGTTTTTATGACCTTTCCTGCCACTGCGGTGAATCACACCGCAGTGGAGCTAGTAACACTGTTAAGGGAATCTGGCTTCCCCGTTTTGCTTTGCTTGTCAGAAGGTCACGAAAGGGGAATCACATGACCACACATGGCAACTGTCATAAAATACATGCCAGTTGCCAAGCCTCTGAATTTTGATTACGGGACCACACGGCTGTGGCAATGATTGTGGGAAAAGCGGTTATAAGTTACTTTTTTCATGTGCTGGTGTAATTTTGAGGAGTCACTAAATCAGAGGTGGGTTCCTACTGGTTTGGACCATTCTCCCGAAGCGGTAGTGCTGCCTTCAAACAGAGAGTGAACAGGTTCTCTTGGTTTTTTAAAAAGTGGGCCCGCGCACCCACCCCGGGTTATACCATATTTTTCAAGAGTATATGACGCACCTTTCCCCCCCCCCAAATCAATCTTGTTTCCTAAAGAAAATAAACAGGAGGGGGAAGAAATTAGGCGGGATTGAGAAAGTCATGAAGCCAACAACTGAACAAAGAGTAGTGATTCGTATTGAGCTGAATATAAACTACCGTATTTTTCGGAGTATAAGACGCACGCTTTTCCCTCAAAAAAGAGGCTGAAAATCTGGATGTGTCTTATACACTGAATACAGCATTTTTGNGTGGGATGATCAGTTGCAACAGAGAGGCCCAGGAAGGAAGGAAGGAAAGAAGGAAGGAAAGCTGGAAAGAAGGGAGGGAGGGAGGGAGGAAGAAAAGATAGAGAGGAATGAAAGGAAGGAAGGAAGGAAAGAAAAAGAAGAAAGAAAGGCAGAAAGAAAGAAAAGATAGAGAGGAATGAAAGGAAGGAAGGAAGAAAGAAAAGAAAGAAAGAAAGAAAGAGAGAAAGAGGCAGATAGGCAGGAAGAAAGGAAATGTGGGATGATCAGTTGCAACAGAGAGGCCCAGGAATGAAGGAAGGAGGGAAGGAAGGAAGGCTGGAAAGAAGGGAGGGAGGGAGGGAGGCAGGCTGGAAGGAAGGAAATGTGGGATGATCGGTTGCAACAGAGAGGCCCAGGAAGGATGGGTGAGGAAGGGCGGAAGGAAGGAAGGGCGGAAGGAAGGAAGGAAATTTGGGATGATCAGTTGCAAGAGACAGGTGAAAGAAGGAAGAGAAAGAAAAAGAAAGGAAGAAAGAAAGAGGAAGTGATGGAGATTGTTGCTTTATTCTCTTTGCCCTTTCAAGCCGATTATTTTAGGAACTTTGCCATTTTCAAAACCGATCTTCAGAAAAATGTGGGTTTCTCTCTTCATCGTCTCTCTTTCCTTTGGTCTGGTGTCCTTTAGAATATAAGCAAGGGCGAGGGTAAGTTTCATTTCTTCCAGCTCATGCCAGCTGCTGTGATAATTTTTGGAGCTTCGCCGAAGGAGCCAATTCTTCCCATCCTAAAGTGTGTCCCCCGTCCCCCACATGTCCCAAAGCATCTGGAAGGGACCCGTTTCGGATAGGCTCCCTTAAGCAGAAGACCCATTAACTTTAGCTGTCTTCCTAATGGTTCTCAGCCAGGCTTGGCTCGGCCTGGAGTTTAGCATCTGTGGCTGTTTTCCTTCAGTAGGAATCTAGTTGCTTTTAAGTTGTTTTTGGTTCTTCTGCTAAATCCAAGGGCTGCACTTCACCAGCAAAGCTGAAATAACAGTCTCTTTGCTCAGGCAGAATTGCTGAAAGGGCATTAAAAAAAACCTATTCATGTGGTTTGAATTCCAAGTTAATGGAATTGTGCAATCACATTCTGTGTTATTGTTGTGGCCCACCAGCAAAGCTGGCAGCAGATTCGGACAGTGAGGAGGTTGGGGAGGAAGATGGGCCAGTCCTGGAGTCNGTAGGGTCTCCTGCTTGGGCAGGGGGTTGGACTAGATGACCTACAAGGTCCCTTCCAACTCTTAATCTGTAATCCTGAATGTCTACACCACCTCTCCGTAGAGTTATTATTTTATTTTATTTACAGTTCTTATATACAGCCATAGGACTTCCAGCAATTCACAATATCAAAATTTATAACAATAGACAAATGCAACTAGTTCTTATTTAACCATGCTGGTTGGAACAAGACAGTCTGTCATCAAGCGACACAGTTTTAAGTCAAACAATGTCTTCATGTTGCTTAGTGATGACAGTTCCAGCAATCCTGGTTGCCATTGTTAAACAATGGGTGGGCCATTCAGTGAGGATCTCACCTGATGGTAGTAGCATCTGACTTCCTGCTGGCTTCCCCAATGACTTTGCTTATGGAAGCTGGCACAGAAGATCACAAATCATGATCACATAAAGCGAAGGGACGCTGTGACATCTCTTTAAGTACAAGACCTGGTCATAACTACCATTCATTCAGAAGCCACCATAAATTCAAATGGTTGCTGAATGAGCGGTCGTTAAACAAGAAGCACCTGTACATCAAAGAGATGAAACTGTAACTCAGCTGTCTCCTCATCCAAGGAACGAGCAAGAGGTTTTGCAAACAAGCTCAGTTTAAATCATCATCTCTCGTGATGGCGGCCTCCATGTTGGGCAGCTGCTCGTGATCGGAGAAGAGTTCAGAAGACCAGTCTGCGACATCAGGCACGGGAGAAGTTGTAGGAAGCAGTTTTGGTCGTCTGAAGTCTACCAAAGGTGGCTTGTCAGGCGATTCGTTGACTGGAGGACCAAGCATCGTTCTCTGTTGACACATAAGCTGGCCTCCAATATCAGCTTCTTCCGGTTGCTGCTTTTTAGGAAGAAATCCGACCTTTGCTAAGTTGGAAAGATTTCTTGGACTCCAGGTTCCTCCTTGAATTGCAGAAAGAGGAAAATCCTCTATAACTCGGCCATCACCGTGAAGCCTGATGAAGCTCTTCCTTCTCTTCCTTCTCCACGATTTTACATCCTGACCTTGGATTTCCCCTGAAGGAGGACTCCATTCTTGGCCAACATCTTCGGACAGCAATTCTTGCGCCGAGAGGCGACTCAGAGGCCCACATGGATTGTCCGTGCCAGCTTCTGCGTTGCTTGACCTTGCGGAGGGCGAGAACCTGCTGACGAGTTGTTTCACCAAAGAGTTTTTAGAGGGGAGCCTGGGCTTTTTACACCTGGCCTTGTCCCAAGGCAATTTATTCGGGGGTAGTTGGCTTCGAAGGGATCCTTTCCCTCCAGGGAGGCTGTCTGGATGACAAGGCCTTGCGAGGGGATCGGGAGTGAAGTCCAGGGTACCAATAGGGCTGCATTCAGACTTGAACCCTGAGCTGGCAATCGGAGTACTTGTTTTGGGGGTCGAGACATCCATGGTATCATATAACGATAACCCATAATGAGAAGTAGTCCCGCTAGCATTTCCCTTCCCTTGCCTTGGCATGAATTCTGATTTTATACAGGTTGGGGTGAGCGTGCCAGTTCGCGGCGTGATTATCTGGGGCCTGTGTAATGTTGCTGGAGTGCTTTTCGTCGATCCCCCGATGCTAATATCAAAAAGATCCGCTGAAGCATCAAAATTAGCCTCGGGGCAACTGGAACCCGCCTGCGGGAAACAGTAGACATCCCTTCCTCTCCAAGAACAGTCTGGTTCTTCCGCGAGCAACTCGTTCTCTTTGTCTTCGCCTGATTTTTCACCGAGAACCGAGGCAGGACGCCACTCTGGACCGTTTGAGAGAGCGGCAGTGGAGTTGCCGTTGTGAAGCCTGGCAAGAAATTCAGTCAAGCCTTTGGACGAGGCTTCTGGAGAAGTTACACCTCCTGTAGCAAGGTGTTCCTTAGGCCTCTGGTGGGGCAAAAGGTGCCGTGGATTTGCTAGCCCATAGCTGGACTGGATGCCGATTTCGCAGGAAGGATCTTTCCGCTCCGATGCGAAGGGGCTTTCTAATATATCACCATCTTTTCCTTTTGTGGAACCTCTACTTCCTAGTTCGTCCCTAGGGGTGAGACTCTGCGGAGGAGGATACAAACAAGACTTCTGACCTTTGGGTACATCTCCATTATCTTGCGCCACGTTTTGGCCTTTGAAATTATAAACCAATTGGTTGTGTGACATGATAGATCCATCTTCGCCTTTTGGCTTCTCCGAACTGGCCTCGCGTGTATCTAAAGCTGTGTCTTCTGATGAGGTGGACGACCAGGTTAGCCCGAATGAGTAAGGCCAGAGGTTGAAAAAGCCATTTCTGTGACTTGATTGAGTCACATCCAAATCGCCAGAGAGATGGAGGCTCCTTAACTCTCCGCTTGGGTGATCAGATGCCAGGACGTGATCCGGAGGCCATAAAGCCCCATGACTCTGCTTCAACTGACCACTTCGCTGCTGCTCGATATAGTGGATAACGGTGTAGCCCACAAGCCCAGGGTGGGGTAGGGACATCTCACGGGCGACGAGGGCTTTGGCGCGTCTCTCCCTTTGGCGGCCATTTTGCAATAAGGGCTTGTCAGAAGGGACAACGCAGGGCATGTCGGAACTCTGCAAAGAAATGAAAATCAGTTGTTTGTTGATGAAATTAAATGCCAGGCCCGGACCGTCTTCCTCTGCTCACCCACCTGACAAGGGAGAACTCAGAAACCTGTTCTATCACGTGGTCCATATCAGACAATTTCAAACCAGTTACTTGAAACAGGCTAGTTTAAACTAGGCACAGGAAACTTTAGTCACAGTTCTAGATCCAAACTAAGAGGAAGCTAGCTCTGTCTGTCTGTCTGTCTGTCTGTCTGTCTGTCTGTCTGTCTGTCTGTCTGTCT